CCCCCCCCCCCCCCCCCCCCCCCCCCCCCCCCCCCCCCCCCCCGCCCTCGAGTAGCTCTGTGGCCTTGGGCAGGTCACCATCCGCGTGGAAGTGCCTGGGAGGTAGTTTTGGGGTGTGCATAGGGACAGCAAGGGGTGGCTTCCCTAGGGGGGGGGGGGGGGGCGAGCACTCTTTCCCTGGAAAAGTCCAGGCGGAATGAGAGGGCCGGATAGGCGGGGGAAGGGACGTGACGCCGGGGGAGCAGGGAGGGCTGGCACGTAGCAGGAATAACTTAAAACCACCCATCCGTGGGGGCGCCTGGGTGGCTCAGTTGGTTAGGCCTCCGACTCTTGATGTCGGCTCAGGTTGTGATCTCGCGGCTCGTGAGTTCAAGCCCTGATTTGGGCTCCGTGCTGACAGTGTGGGATTCTCCCCTTCCCCCCTCTCTCTCTCTGCCCCTCCCCTGCTCGTGTGTGTGCATGCGCGCGCGCTCTCTCTCTCTCTCTAAATAAACATTAAAAAATCATTTAAAAAACCAGCCATCCGTGCTTCACACCTTGCTTGTGTCAGACATCACTAATCCACCACCGCACGCTTTTAAGGAGTGTACCCCAGGCCCTTCCCTGCCAGCCGTGGGGCTCAGGACAAGGCACACAGGTCCGCTCCAGACCTCACATGCCTGTGTGTGGACCATCTAGCATCAAGCCCAAACTCCGTTTATATCCCTCCGCCAACAGCCTCCCCCTGGGAACCACCCATTCTGGACAACTACCCCTGGAGCCCAGGGGTGCACACACAGTGACATCCCTGCCAACCTGGGAGATGCTGGCACGGGCCCTGCAGGCCAAGGTACAGATGGCTTGCGAAGAGCAGGGTCCTGGGGCCCCGGGGTGGGCGGGGGAGTGGGGTGGGGGGCGCGTGCCTTTTGTACGGTGGGCAGAGTGGGGTCCTCTAAGGGCCCCAGCACCCCTGGCTCTGACGGAGGACCGCGCACACTTCGTGGGGCAGGGATACCACCTGGGCATGCGTGCTGATGTGCCCCTATCTTGCGCCACGGGGGACATCGCCAGTCTGTCGCTGCGCTGAGCCCGGCTACCGCGGGAGCCCTTCGTGTAGGCGCCGTCGCCGGGTCTGGGAGCAGGCGCTGTGGGGCTGGAGAGGTAATTTAAAATGTCACACCATTGGGAACCTGTGATCAGTCCTCCCAGGCCGAAGGGCGGTATCTCAAAGCGGGCCTGCAGTGCTCGAGGGAGAGGGACCCAGAAACCAGCCCCGAGGACCCTCCACCCACCATTACGGGCCCCACAGAGTCTAGCATGGGGGCGTCACCGATCTGGGGAGCCTTTGGGCCCTGAGATTCTGAGGGGCACGGCCCCCTCTACCCCTCTGGAAAACGGCAGTGAAAGCGTTTGCCGTGCCTACCTCTGGAAACAACATGATCAGAAAATGCAAGAGACGACGATGTGGGTGCCTCCCGGGGGCGACATTGCCCCTGGGGTATTCCTGGAGCGGGGGCCTAGGGGGCCCGCTCAGCTAGCAGGACCGGATGAGCTGTTGGGTCTGCCACCGGAGTGGGCCAGAGTCAGAGTTTGGGTTCCTGAAAAAGCCCCCAGACCTCCACCTGAGCAGTCCTACCCCTGCTCCAGTCCCCCTGTGACCCTTTCACCCTGCAGGGACTGCTGACCAGGGCCTTGGGAAGCCCAAGCCACAGCCCTGACTAAACGTTACCCACATCCTGCTTAGGAGGTAGAAAACTGTAAGAAAAAAGCCTAGTAGTCTACAAAGGGGGACTGGTTTTTTGTTTTTGTTTTTGTTTTTGTTTTTGTTTTTGTTTTTAGCTTATCAGAGGGGTGAGGTGGTCAGGCAAGCAGGTAAACTCAGTTGCAAAGAGTGACAAGCCCGTGTCAGGAGAGAGGGTCCATAGGCTATTTTCACTTAGGCAGATCATGGGACGAAGTGGTCCACATGTAGCAGGTGAGAAAATACCAAGTTTGAAAAAACCTTAAAGGTTAGCGTGACAGTTTGGAATCATGACGCACCCCAGGCACAAGGCGGGGTGGGGTGGGGTGGGGGGCTGTATTTACTCATCAGCTCTTGTCCACAGGCCTCTGCTGGAGGCATGCGAGAAAGATCTAGAGGAGGACAGTAGGCCCGTGAGATCACCCCTCGGGGCTCCAGCCAAGTTGCAGAGTGCAAATTAAGAGAGCAATATACACATTTACAGCTCATCGGGGACACAAACTACCTCTCCGCAGAAAACCCTAAGAGTATCTAATGGTAGACTGTTTATGAATCCCAAGACTCCGTGTTAAGATGTCAATTCTCCCCACAGTGATCTGTAAACGCAATGGCATTCCAATCAAAAATCCAGCAGACTGTTTTTTGTTTGTTTTAGAATTTGACGAAGTCATTATAAAATCTTTATGGGCATAAAGAGGATTTAGAGCAGCCAAAACAATTCTGAAAAGGCACCGAGTGGCAGAATATACACTGATTTCAGGCTTACTTATGAGAACCAGCAGTCATCAAGCCCGTATGACTGGTGTAAGAATCAACATACGTAACAGTGGGGCACAACGGAGAATCCAGAAATCGACCCATATGGCCGTAGTGCTGAGGTGATTCAATAGATGATGCCAGAAATTGGGAGCCTCCGGATGGACAAAAGTAACCCCCCAACTCTCACGTCATATGCAAAGATGGACTCAGTCCAAGCCATCAACTTAAAGGTATGAACTGAAACTATAACACTTCTAGAAGAAAACATGAACAAAAAATACCTTTGTGACTTTGGGTCAGAGATGGCACAGAAAGCACTCGCCACAAAAGAAGGGGTGGACGGGGCGCCTGGGTGGCTCGGTCGGTTGAGCGTCCGACTTCGGCTCAGGTCATGATCTCACGGTCCGTGAGTTCGAGCCCCGCGTCGGGCTCTGTGCTGACGGCTCGGAGCCTGGAGCCTGTTTCCGATTCTGTGTCTCCCTCTCTCTCTGCCCCTCCCCTCTTCATGCTCTGCCTCTCTCTGTCTCAAAAATAAACGTAAACAAAAAAAAAAAAAAAGAAGGGGTGGACAAACTAGACAGGTCAAAAATAGGAACTTTGTTATTTTTATTTTTTTTAAGTTTATTGAGAGCGAGGGCATGAGCAGGAGTGGGGCAGAGAGAGAGAGAGAGAGGGAGAGAGAGAATCCCAAGCAGGCTCCGTGCTGTCAGTGCAGAGCCCGACATGGGGCTCAATCTCACAAACTGTGAGATCATGACCTGAGCAGAAATCAAGAGCCAGACTCGTAGCCGACTGAGCCACCCAGGCATCCTAAAACGAAGAAGTATTCCTCAAAAGACGGTGGCAAGGAAAACACGAGAGGAAATCTTCTCATATCATCTATCTGGAATTGAGCCGTATCCAAAAGACCTCACAGACTCTCAAACCACCCAATAAAATCTGTGCACTTTACTAGAGGAGACGTACAATGACACGTACACACATGAAGAGAGTGCCCCACATCGTGAGGTCTTTAATGAAATGCAAATTAAGAGCCCAGTGAGGGGCACCTGGGTGGTTCAGTCGGAGCAGGCTCCAGACTCTCAGCTGTCAGCACAGAGCCCGACGCGGGGCTTGAACGCACGAACCGTGAGATCGTGGCCTGAGCCGAAGTCAGACGCTTAACTGACTGAGCCACCCAGGCGCCCCGATGTGGGCAGATTTTGATAAGAAACATACGCTTCTCCTCAACCTAGTGATGCCTCCCCTCTGTATCCACAAGAGGGGAATGAAAACATTTGCCCACAAAACGACCTGGACACGAATGTCCACAGTGACTTTATTTGAAATAGACTCCCACTGGAAACAACCCAAATGTGTATCCGACAGGGACTGGATAAGTAAATTGTGACGCATCCGTGCGGTAGAATGCCACCGAGCAGTAAAAAAGCATAAACCCCTCATGTGTACATGCATGCACCATTTTGGCTGGAACTAAAAAGCGTTGTGCTTCGTGAAAGAAGTCAGACTCAAAAGCCTGAACATTGGGTGATTCCATTCATAGGATAGTTTGGAAAAGACAAGACTGTAAGGACAGAAAACATCACTGGTTGCCAGGGCTGGGGGTGGCAGAGAAGGTGGGCTGGGAAGGGGCACAAGGGAACTTTTTGGAGCGATCGAGATGCTCTCCATCTTGATGTGTTGGTGGTTGTACACGTTTGTCACACAGTTTAGAATGAATTTTCTTGTTTGCAAAACCCTGTCCCGGTTAACAAACAATGATTTTTTAGAAACATTAAATTTTTTAACTTTAGAGAAGGAGTAAAAGTGGGGAGAAGGGCAGAGGGAGAGGGAGAAGAAAGTCTTAAGCAGGCTGTAGGCTCCGCACAGAGCCGGATGCGGGGCTCAATCCCAGGCCCCTGGGATCAGGACCAGGGCCAAAATCAACAGTAGGACTTTCAACTGACTGAGCCATCCAGGCATCGCCCGCCCCCCCGCCCCCCGCCAAATTTAAATCAACCAAAGTAGTGGAGGATGCTTGGTCCCCCCCAGGACCTCTTAGAACACACTGCAGTGTTTCCCTAGAGGAAAACATCTTTCCTCCCCCAATTAGGGGTTTGCCTGATCCCCAGCATCACCGTTTACTAACTGGGTAAATGCTTAGATCTGGGAAAGTCATTTTACCTCTCTGAGACTTAGATTCTCTCATCTGTAAAATGGGCATGATTCTTACCTATCAGATTGCTGCTCGTATGTCAGGCACTGAGTGCTGTGTCTGGTTCTAGAAGTGCTCTAGAAGTAATAATTATTCCTTATAATTACAGCATAGTTGGCTCTGCCCACGGAGGCTGCAGGCTACCAGAAGGGAAGCATGGTCCTTTTCGTATTTGTATTTTTCTTTTCTCGTCCCTTGACCCCCAGAGG